TGGACCAGATAATTAAGCATTAAAGTTTCTTGAATAACGAGAGACTAATTACAACATCAGCTCCATTTATTTCGGCCGTTCAGAATAACAAGAGACTATTACAATAGTGCGGACTCGCTGAAGACAGAGCCCTTTAGCAACATAAACAAGTAATATAACAAACTTCTCAAACAGAAGAAAGATACAGCATGGAATAAACTAATGAAATTTATGTAAACTAATACAGCAGCACCATGATCCCCAACTTCAGTAGATTACACCATATAAACACTAAGACCCGGTACTACTCCATACATGCTAATTAAGCCCAGTCTCAACCCTGCTGGGTCCCAGTGACATGTTGCTGCCCAAACTCCTGAGCCCTGTCTTTCATCTCCCCAGCCTTAGTAGCCAACCTGTGCCTTGCATGCTCCAACTGGTCCGCACCGGGCGGGCGCTTTCCGGTCACGTACCTATAAATCCACGACAACACGCTTATTGCCGCCACCCCAAATCCGCCCGAAGCCAAGAACCCTGAGACCAACATGAAAATAGTAATAACAGCAGGAACAATCACTGGGCTAAAAATCACAAGCAAAGGGGTGGCAACAGTAAGCGCAATCACCGTTCCGGCTAAAGTTAGGCCGGAAAGAACAAGAAGTGAGCCACCAGCAGTGACAGCAGTAGCAGCCTTCACCATCTGGTGAGATCTAGGCTGTTGCACTGAATTGAGCTGCTGGTGCTGAGTATGTTGCTGCCCATAGTAATCTGCCATACTTGATGAATTTGTAGAAAATTTTGCAGAATCTTTTTCTTCCCAAATGGAGGTGAATTGAATGTGGGGATTGTGAGGTTTACCGATTTTGGATTATATAGAAGGGAAAGGTAAGGAGAGAAGGGGGCACGTGTTTTAGGAAGGGATGTAAAGTGTTATAAGGGCGAAACATGCGGCGATTGCATGCAATGAGAATGCGTGTTTATGAGACACGTACAATTGTCGTTCTATTTGTAGTCTTGTGTACTTGTAACCGTTTGGGGAACTTATGAAATGGACAAAAGCATCCAAAAGACAATGCACTTTGTAAGAATGGTAAATTCGTTATATTTTTCGCACTTCTTTTCTGCTTTTCGGGTTCTTTGTTCTACTAGTGTCCGTACCCGCGCGTTGCGCGAAAAATATAAAATATAATATTTTAAAAGAAAAATTATTTGGAAATACAGTACACGAAAAGAAAACACATTAATACATTCAAGTCATATGGAAATAGACTTCTCCCTTATAAATACAGCTAGTGAGAAAAGGACCTAGAAGCTTTCTTGTGCAGACCATAGGCAATGGCAGCAGCTATAAGCTAAGCAATAATACGCATAACATTCAGCTCATAAATTGTAGAAGCGAAAATTATAAATAGGGAGCTAAATAAGCACATTCAGATCTTTAGAACCTTATGAAAAGTGTGAATACAAATTCTAAAACCGAGTAAAAGCACTCAACCATTACAAAGTTGTACCTTTAGTCTTTCAACCTCATTATCAATAAGAAAATGGAGCAGATGTATGACTATGACATAACCAATAATACTACATGGTTTCACTCTAAGTTCTTTTTTTGTCCCTCTCTTTTTCAAATATTGTAAGCACCGCAGAAAAAAAATATATTTTAGTCATTGCTGAACTTTGTCCATAAACAATCAACCGGGAAAAAAGTCATAATTTAAGTTTTGAATTCAGTTGTATTTGACCAGTTTTGCAATCCACTATTAGTCAACATTCTCATAAACCGGCTTTTTATTGGCCACAAGTAATAACAGTGCCCAAATCCCAACTAAACCAAACGTAGTGCATTAAAAATAATTAGGAAACTTTTGAGGAAACATGTCATCTTTTCAAGAGAAAGAAATAATAATGTATAAGACTCTAATTCATGGTCATCGACAAAGATTTTTTTTATCAGTAACACATGCATTCTTCAGCTTCTTGGTTTCTTTTAAAAACTTAAGTTACCAAGCTATATGATATTAGAGTATTATGGAAGAAATGAAAGCCAACTTTTACTAATTTGCTCCACATATGCTGAGAGAAGGTGGTGTAACAGAACATGTTATGCCCTTTGCAGATAAGTATATTTCAAGAACTATGACATCCTCATTCTTCAAAACTAGTCTGACCAATGTTGTATGCAGGTCATGTGTCAATAAAGATGTATGCCATAATAATGTATGAAGTTTGAATACCTTGTAAATTAAAGTATGGGCTAGCAACACAATTCTTTCTCCTATACATCAAATAATCATAAATTTTTAATCAAACTATAATAGATTGTCATCTTTTACTAAATGTAAGAAAGACTATTGAAAGAAATTACCAATCAATAAAGTTAAAAATGCTGACGAATTACTTTTTGACTCTATTGTAAATTATCTTATTATAAAAGAGAACTTGACAAATAAAAGTTTCAACAGGTTGGGCAATAGCCCTTAAACATGTTTTCGCGAAGAACAATCGGTACTAAATTACCCGATCCTTCATTACTCACATTGCTTTGCATCTCCTCACTTTGTACTTTCTTCTACATCCCAAAAAATTACAATTAATGGTTAACTTTCTTTGTCCTCAAACTATAAGCTGAAATCGAGTAGAATAATAAAAATTGTGCATTCTTTTGTGAGGTTCAAATCGCAGCATTCTGCTTTATCTTTGCAAGTAAACAAAGTTTGACCCACTCTAAGTTTCGATGTATTTTAACATAGTCAGTTTAAGACATTGGAGTAAAATAAATTTAAGATATTCAGTTTTCATGAATATTGACTGCATTGGAACCAGTGGCGGAGACAGGATCTCCACGAAGGGGGTTCAAAAAAATATTTTTGTAGCTAGTAGGAATTGAACCCATGATCTTATGTAGATTTTGAACCCCCCTTGACAACTAAACTACACTTTTGGATTGTGTTAAGGGTGTTCAAAACTTAATATATAGAGATAAAAAACAGATTTTGCCTTATATATACAGTGTAATTTTTCGGCGAAGGGTGTTCGGGTGAACACCCTTGCGCCCCCTAAATCCGCCCCTGATTAGAACATGAAGATAAAGTGATAAGATATGAGAATCAACTGATTTTTGACATTCAAACTTAACTTGAAATGTGTAAAGGCTCTATTAAATAGAGAACGGAAAAAAATTTATTTGTAGTTGTATTTGAAACTACAGAGAAAATGCAGAAAAAGAATTTAGAAGGAACCTTATGAAAAGTGTGAATAGAATCTTTCGGATCGACATAACAAAATTTAAAAAATGCAGAAAATAAGAAAACCAGAACACATTGCAATTACTTACTCATTTCCAATAGAATGATGAAAAATCCAGCTTATACTCTGTTGCAATCCACATAACTGAACAGGAAAGAGAAAGAGAAAAAGAAAAAAGAATTATAACGAAAATAGTAACGACTTTAGAGCTCAGAATATTTATGCTTAACAAATGAAAAAATTGAAGGTATTACCCGATTCTCTGAAGATTTTCAAAACATGAGATCTTTGTCAATACTCTATGAGAATATGTCATCTTGTATGACAACTGACCGTATAGTACTGGAGAAAATTATATGAATAGCATCAAATATGGAGATTGAAGAAATGAAATTCAATTATGTGAAAATGTATATTTATACAGACAAAAAAAATTGAAAGTTAGTGATTCCTACTTGGAAAAATCTTCAAGAAGTGTAATATGTTCTACATCTGCTATGAGTACCAACAGTTTGGTTGCTTCATGTCTAACAGTTGGATGGTTATTCATATCTTTAACAGACCTGAATAGTGCATCTGTAGAATTTTTAGTATGTAATTTCCCAATACATAATCCATTTCATGCTTTAGTAAAGCAATATTTGAACTTACAGATTCTTTAATTGGGAAAATTCTTCGTGTTCACCATTGTTCTAATGTGAAAAAAGAGCAGCGTAACACTCATACATGCCCAGTCCTTCACTCAAAAGAACGTAACTCAAGTCTTGGATAGATGAAGAAGCAGAAGGAGCAGCTAGTCTATGGATAGAAAGGGTGACAATACCATTGTTGAGGAACCGTTATCAATTACTATATTCTTCAACTCTTTGATTTGTCTTAGAGTCAGTTCACTTGTCTGTCAGAATTATTGAGCTGGAATTGTAGCCAAACTGCTTTATATCACGGAAATATTAATTTATAAACCAATTACATGAAAAGTAAGAAGAAGAATAATAATGAAAAGGAAGACACTTACATTCCATATGTCATTAAGTTTTTCCTGCTGTGAGATCACATTAATAATTCGAGCACTAAATGGAGAAGGCATCATTAACAGAATGGTGACTTTGATCATAATTCTGCTGTTAAAGTAAGAAAGAGCATAATCAAATAATAAAGTAGCATAAACTATAACACGTAGCAGTAAGCTATTGAGAATCAAATCTATTGTATCACATTATCCAATTGATGAATTACCACATTCAAACCACTTGCGTAAGTGACATTGAGTACTTTTCACCAATGCGATGTAACAACTACTGTTAATCCATATAATGGAAGTTAGTGTACAATCTGTAAGTGCAACATTAATGAAACATTATTTTATATATCTAGAATTGTGTAACAGAAAAAGATTTGAAAAATATCGAAAACTAAAGCGTACCTATTCCATGTTTGAGGAATCATCTCAACAGCTACTTCTCAGTTGGTTCATAAATCTCAGCAAGAAAAGTAGTACTTAAACCTCAAAAAAGATATTAATGATCTTTCGAGTGGCAGACTAAATTTCGAAAAACTTCTTTAAATACTATATTTATAGCTTCAGTAGTTATTTTTCCATCGTCATCATAAACCAAATTTTTTTATCCCTTTCTAGTTTTCACCCGAGAAAGAGCAACATATAGTTGTCCGTGTGTAAACACATATTTCTTCAAAAATAATCCCACCTGAGACAATGACTGTCCTTGACTTTTGTTGATTGTCACAGCAAAAGATACAACGATTGGAAATTATCTTCACTGGAACTTAAATGGAATTCTAGCATCAGATGGAGTCAATATCATTCTTGAAATAAATGCTTTCTGTCCAGCCATCTGTCCTAATAAAACCTTCGTTTCAATGACTTGATTTCCAAGTTTGGTTATGATCAACCTTGTTCCATTACATAATCCGAGCGTGATTTGAAACTCCTGAACATTTAATAGTATTTAAGAATTCTGGTGTGTGTATATGTTCCAATGCTATATAAGTATGGTTAGAGCTGCAGATTGTATCGGAACTCAAATATAATTTCTCAGAACTTTCATTAAGCGAAATCATATATTCGTTGATTGATTCCACCATATCAAGAGTTGGAGCAAGAATAGCTCTTTGCTGGAGGTATCCTATATCACTGCAACGACTGTTAAAATCGGGATATGTACTTTCTACAATTGCAGATATTGGATCATCAGACTGTTTTATCAAAAGATCATATGGTATTTGGACTTTTTCATAGCCATCAACAAAAGTACCAACCATACCGTCGCCAATTCCCAAAATCTAATATGAAAAAACTATCATTCATCTAGATTCGTCCCTATTTCATTACCTTGCAATCTCATATTCTTTGTTAACTTTAAGAGCTGACAGTGAGGCCACAAATAAGAAGAATTGAGAGATGCATTAACAATATCTTGCCTAGTGCCTTTTGGAATGACAAGTAATATTTGTCTGAAGTCACCACCAAGAACAATTGTTTTACCTCTAAATGGGTGGTCTAAATTGGATGCATCTTTAAACTTAAGAATATCTCTTAAAGTTTTATCAAGAGCTTCAAAACAATATCTATGCATCATGGGTGCCTCATCCCAAATAATCAACTTTGCCTTGACAATTAAATTTGCTAAAGGAGTACCTTGCTTAATATTACATGTTGAATCTTCGGTTAGATTTAGAGGAATCACAAATCTTGAATGAGCTGTTCGACCACCTGGTAACAACAAAGATGCAATCCCTCTAGATGCAACAGTTAACACAATATCTCCTCTAGATATTATGGCAGAAGACAAAATTCTCCAAACAAAAGTCTTGTCTGTTCCTCCAAAACCATATAAAAAGAAAAATCCACCCTTGTCTTCATTCACAGCTCTTATTATTTTTTCATAAACTGACTTTTGCTCATCTGTCAAATTCTTTACTAATTGTTGATGTTCCTCCGCCAAAGCGCGTTTATTATAACGCAATTCATCCCGTATTAATCTATTAATGTTGTCAACTTCTTCCGTATTATAAACAGGCCTTGGCATTGTTGGAAAATCCTGAAAACTTCTTCCACAACCTTTCAAAAAAACTTCAAGCTTTTGCAAATAATGATTTTTCAATTCATGATATGTTAGCTCAACTTCTGTAATAACATAAAAATATAAAATAATTAAATACAATAAAATGTTAAAGTTTAGTTTAGCAATATGAAATTAATAATAAGATTAACGAAACCGTAAAATGTTTAATAGTATTTTACATGAATTAAAAGCACATGTAACGTACAAAGAATATGAAGGAATAAGATAGTCCAAACCTTGTGCTTTATTTTATTTTTAAAAAAAAATACTAAAGTGCAGAATGCATAAGAGCGATTATAGGCTTTCCCGAAACTTAAGGGCATTAAATACAATGTATTAATTGTGTATTAGTATTTATGTCTGGAAAATGTATCAATCAGTAACAATATTATTCCTATGATCTAAACACGACACTATAGTAAAAAGACATAAACATAACAAAATATTGTTTACGGAACCTGAAGTCTTGGAATGAATTTTGTATGAACTGGAAAACATATATATAAAGCAATGAACAATCAGATTAATATGAATGAAGTAATTAAAAAGAAAATTAATCAATAAAGTTAAGAAAATCAGCCATCCTTTAGAAGTATCATATCATATTGAAATTGCAAACATTTTATACGTACCTGGGTGATCCAATATTGTTCTTTCTTCATGAAGGATATTTTCTGATAGTAAATGCCATGTTGCTTGCCAAATTCTTTCTAGCCGTGACATTGAATTTGATAAAAGTAGCATAGCAAATAATTGCCTAAGATATGATGCCATTACCCAATTACTTGCTTCCATTATAGCATCCACGTATTCCTTATCATCATCTAATAAACCCAAAGCATAACATGCATCTCTAAAAGTCTCATGATCACAACTGTTGATTCTTTTGAGTTCGTCATAGCTCTTTGGACCTTTAATGACATTCAACAATAATCTAAGGTAATATTGCTCGCCGGATCCAGGTGGAACAAAGAAGATTCTCCCAATAGAAAATGCAGATATTCTTCTTTTTTCCCATCTTTTCGGGTTTTGTTTCCACACAAACTTTAGAGGAAATTCTGCATAAGTCAATTTTCTTGCTTCAGGAAATGTCTCATTAGCTTCAAACCAGCTTAAAAACATAGATTCCTCAACGGTTGGTCTGTTGACAACTGCATCAATTGGATCATCATCCGAAAATATGACTATTTGATTATTTGACAGGTGAAAAGATAGCCTTTCTACCAATGGTTCTCTGTGGTGTATTGGGAATTTAAATATTCTCCAAGCAGCTTTACAAGGTGATATGTATCGACAATCACAATACATATTTATTTCATCAACGACCCCTGAGTCTTCCTTATTTACACTTTGAGAAAAAGCTGCGGTAATACGATCATTTCCTTTATTAACATACTTAAATAAGTACTTAATAGATCGTGATTGATTACACCACTCCACGTTAATATATGCACCATACTTCAATAATAAAAATCTATTGCGTGGTACAACATACCTATTATCCAACTCAATACCTACTCTCTTTGCAGTTCTACCATCATCTCTTCTTCTATAAATTGGATACCCATCTTCATCAATTGTGGTTGATGACACAAATTTTTTTGGAAAGTGCTTTGTACACCTACCATTCTGCATGTAAGGAGAAGATTTTCTAGCAGCACCACAGGGGCCATGCATCATGAAATTTGTAACAACATTATAATAATGAGTGTGAGCACGTGATTTTTTGCCTCATACGAATTACTCCAAAATAATTCCCAAAATTAGGTTTTTTCTTTAATTATGTGTTATTTTTAGGAAATGTTGTGCGATTTTCCTGTTTGTTTGCATAGATCTGTGTGCATGTTTAATTTTATTAATACATTAAAAATTAAAAAATATATAGCATTTGCATTTAGGATTGAATTTTTATATTTTTGGAATTAATTAATAATTAGGTGTTTTACAAAAATGAAAATTCAAAAAAAAATAATAATAATGACATATTTTTGTAATTTTAGTTAAATTGTGTGATTTTCTTTTAATTTGGCATTTAATTATTTGTGATAATTATTAGTCAGAGTTATTAGTATTATTAAGTTAATTTGGTGTTTTAATATTTTGAGTTTTAATTTTTGAGAGGAAAAGAAGAAAAAAAAAGAGTTAATAAAGAGAGGAAATAAAATTTGGGCCAAATCTAAATTAAATACCAAAGCCCAACCCAGCCCAAAAACATGCCCCATACCCGGTCCAAACTTCCAGCCTCTGAAACCATCGAAACGACGTAGTATAGGGATAGAACTACGTCGTTTCGATTTCAATAGATCTCAACCATCCATTCATCTACATCCAACGACCAAAACTTTGCCCCATTTCCATTGCCCGACCCTGAACCGTTTCCCCCCTGAACCCGATCCAGCCTCTAACCTTAACAAACGACACCGTTCAAACCAATCAAACAATCCAAGCCGTTGATCTCGTTTGATCGAACAACCTGGATTTAACCTCACCCTCAGTATATATTTGTCCAAACGAACCCCGCCCCCAAACCAAGCCCCCCTCTCATTCTCTCCCAAACCTTGTCTCTTTCAGAGACGAGGAACCCTAATAGCCGCTACCCCATCCCTTCACCATAAACCCGGCGGCGCCGGCTCCGTTCGCCACCAAACTCACCCCCCA